TGCTACCAGAGTGTGCCAGTGACGAGCAGATTGCTGCGTGCGCCCCGACACATGTCCTGAGCACGGCCGACGCCGAGCGGCTGATCAACAAGCATCTCCACGGCGGCAGCAACCGATCACGCGGTGAGCCGACTCGCGTGAAGGACTTTGGCACAAGAGCGCGGCTTTATGTCGGCAGCCCTGACCTCACGGCGAGCCTGTGGGGCGAAGCGTCTAACTTGTTTGGCCGCACATCGCCCGACGCACTTGGAAACATGGGAGATATGTTGGTCCTCGGTACGCTCTGTGTTCTCGGTGATGATCACTTTCTGACCGATTTCGCAGTATCTGCTGCAAATGCAACGCGGGACGTCCTTTACGACCTTGCGGGCGGGTTTCGGATGGATGAGAACCACCCTTTGTTTTCCGAGTTTCAGAGAAGAGAAGATATGCGCCAGTATCTCCGAACCAACGTGTGGCTGCGAGAGCTTGATTACCAGCCGGCCGGCTGATACGTCTGACACTTTGTATCTGGCTAGCCTTTCTTCTAAGTGGTAATGGATATTTGACGGTTTTTATACCATAATTGCTGCAAGACTCGTCTAGCTGCATGACTCATACATCGAATGATGTGGGAGGAAGATAAAAAAGAAAAAAAAGACAAGCTGTGCGTGTTGTCATTCGTAATGCGATCGCGAGTCGGCTCCTGCCGCGACGTTCGGTTTTCAGAGGTGATCCTACATAGAATTCCCATTGCTACTAGCCGATCTGGATACCCCGCAAAAGTGGGATGGCATCTACCATCTTTGCTCGTCAGTAGTGCCGACTAACAAGGAGCCACATAGGTGAGCTCAATGTCTGGAGGCATCACAATCGGACTTGGGCCGGAAGGCATCGTGAGAAGGTGGGGTGGGAGGGGGCGGGCTAGGGAAGAAGCGCTCGCGCACTGGGGTTGCCGCGTCCGCCGTCGGTGGCCATGGTGGTGACGCGGCCTGTAGGAAATGTCGAAGACGAGAAGGGCGTAGACGTAGATTGAGTGGTGGGCCATAAGGCTTGGTACTCATCTGTAGCATGTGCATAGATCTGCCACGAGAATCGCTTGGTTGCTTCGGCTTCTGGTGCCAGCCGATGTGATTCCACCAGTCCTTGGCAAAGCGCCAGAGGTCTGTATGTCTTTTATCAGTGCTTGTGTCGCCGCTCTTGAGATGATTGGCGGACGCTGCATTCAACATGCAGATGATTTTGTCAGCGCCTTTTCCGATGGTATGGGCTACTGGCGCCATGAGGTCATGGGTTTTCATGGCTTTATGGTGGCCATGATGCTGAGGTGTACCAATTTCTCAATGATCGTACGTAGGCGCTGTGCCTCGGATGCTCTCCAAAGATGAGGGTGATGCATGCTTTCCGCAAGCCCTCCTTCGAACGGAGAATCGGCCACGGTAGCAGATTTAATCTAGCCAAGCGACCGGGCCGGTTGCGGGGAAACAGCGCCCCACGATCGAATTTGCCATCGGAACTGAGGTGGAGTCGGCAGACGGGAGCGTACATGGCCGCACTGGCGTAGGGTTTGCTTTGTCTCCCCTGTTCACTTTGTGCGAGACGCGGCCGGTCGCGGGCCGCAGGCGGGTCGGGTCGCGGCAATAATGGGGAGCTAGATCTGGGCTGGCGCCTTGATTTCTGGGCTGCGGTCCGGAGAAATAGGACTATTGTGGGCGGGGCAACGCCGGCCAGCCAGCCGGCCAGTCTGACCCTGTGGGACATCGCCGGCACGGTAGCATTGGCCCTCGGAGTTTGCGGGGACAACACGGTGGTTCAAGGGGATGGAAGCGTCTTTTGCAACGTCGTTCGACTCAGCACCAAATGGCTGCCTTCGAGAAGTGGATTGCCAGGGGCCGTGAACACGGGGAGGGAGCCTTGGTGCACAGACGGTCATCGACAGAGCAATTTGATCCCTAATACTCAAGCAACACACCCCTCCACACACTCGCCGTCGACCGCAAAATTGGCTTCAGCCACCCCATGAGAAGACGTTGCCGAAATACAACTTCGAGATGGCCGGCTGTACATCGCTTCTTGCGATGTAGGCGTAGCTCAGAGGGGCCAGGGGAGCTTTACCGACAGGGCCAGGAGAAGCTCCGTTTTAGACTCGCCGCTCATTGCCGCTCTAGCCCGAGGCTCGCTCGATGTCATTATGTTTTCCTGGGCGAGACGTTTGTATCCTAGCGCGCAATGTGGAAATAGCAAGGCCCACCTC